TAGACCATGGCGACGTTGCCGGAGCTGCTCGATGATGGAGGTCTTCCAGATCGAGAGTACTGGTCTCCAGGTAGCTATCCATGGGTGACTCCATACTAGAAGTTTCGCAGCTGTTTGGAGGTGACATGAATTCCAAGTCTTCTCCAGTCAGGTTGCGACTGGAGATGACTTCATATTTTGGTGTACATGAAGGTGATGGGCGAGAGCCAGCTCCTGCTTATAGAGGAACATCTTGGGTATCTTCCGCCCTGGTACCCACGTCCTCTGTCTGGGCTGCGAAAACTTTGCTGATATGTGACTCGGTCGGAATGTCTTTTTTTGGCCTCCTTGTACTTCCAGAATAGTCCACGTGCGAATTTCTTGCAATCTTGGCATGCTAGGTATCCTGTTTTTTCAAGCCTGTGCAAGATTGGATGGCTTTTATTACTAGGCCTACGTTTCGGCGTCTTCGCCTTCGTCTGAGCCTGAAATGGACAAAAAACAGATGTAACTTGCCCGCTCAAGCGCCTAAACAATCCTCAAGACAATTTCCCTAGACTAGTAAAGCATCCAACGATATCAATCAATAGTATTATGGCTCACCTGATCAGCCGCCGCTATGCGGGGTCGACCACCCTGAGGAACACTTAATCGAGAAGTAACCAGTACTATTCACCCTCCTCGACCTCACGGTAGATCAAAACTTGCAAAGGTCGAGGAAGGGTATCCAGCTCACGCGTTATGGCCACACACTCTCCCTTTCTATTCATCTGAGGGTCCTTTGCCGTAATCCAGAATGCCTCCAATGTCTTACGCGCTGTGATCTCGGCCTCCTGCGCTAATATGGTCACCGACACGTCGAATGTCGTGCCTTCATGATGTTGAACCCGATGGGCTCCAAGCGGGGTATAGGCTCGCGACCTACTAAGTCCCTCCAGATGTTCTTTGACCCGCACACGGAGAGGACGTCCTGTTTCCCCTATATACTCACTGCCACAGCTTTGGCAGTGTATCAAGTAGATGACTGCAGACTTCATGCAATCACCCTGCTTGCCAAAGGGGCAAACGACACATTCTGGAGTGTCACACAATGTGTCGTACAGGCGATTGCGAACCAGAAGACGTTCTGTTTCCCCTATATATACACTGCCAAAGCCGTGGAAGTGAGTATATAGGGGGAACAGGACGTCCTCTCCGTGTGCGGGTCAAAGAACATCTGGAGGGACTTAGTAGGTCGCGAGCCTATACCCCGCTTGGAGCCCATCGGGTTCAACATCATGAAGGCACGACATTCGACGTGTCGGTGACCATATTAGCGCAGGAGGCCGAGATCACAGCGCGTAAGACATTGGAGGCATTCTGGATTACGGCAAAGGACCCTCAGATGAATAGAAAGGGAGAGTGTGTGGCCATAACGCGTGAGCTGATACCCTTCCTCGACCTTTGCAATTTTTTAAAATGGTAATGTTCATTTCTCGATTAAGTGTTCCTCAGGGTGGTCGACCCCGCAAAGCGGCGGCTGATCAGGTGAGCCATAATACTATTGATTGATATCGTTGGATGCTTTACTAGTAGTCTAGGGAAATTGTCTTGTTTGGGCGATTGAGCGGGCAAGTTACATCTGTTTTTTGTCCATTTCAGGCTCAGACGAAGGCGAAGACGCCGAAACGTAGGCCTAGTAATAAAGCCATCCAATCTTGTACAGGCTTGAAGACATACGAAAAATAGATATACTTCCTTTTCGTGCTATAGTTTGAACCAAGCTTAGATACACTGATCCTTTCCTTACCATTAGCTACATTCTCAAGGACATCTCATGCTGACCGCCAAGATCTCAGAACCGACACCAGTTTTTCCTCGAATAGAAAGATCTCCACAAGTGACAGTGATTCTGGTTGAGCCTTGTCAGCTCACTCATTTGCCACTGCTCACTCAAAGACAGATCCTTCTCACCTGCGAGGGCAACAGGGCCGCAGCTGTTGAAATGTTTAAGTGTGTCTTGTCGACGCTAAGAAATGCATGGGGATGGATCTGGAGGGTAGCAGTAGCTGTATGCTGTTTTATGGCTTTGCTATTCGTAGGCAAAAACAGCGCGACTACCCCTACTTCGAGATGAGCTTGCTTTTTTTCTCTGCACCACCTCCCCCATTTTTGAGTGGTGCGCCATTCTTCCCCACAGCTCCTGGGCTGCGTACTTCGGCAGCTGCGAACACGGTCACTGGATCTCGGTTGGCTGAGGTCTCGCCAGGAGCTACGATTACGTTAGCGGAACTACAACCAATATCGGAGGGCAGAAAGGGGCGTTTCCACGTACACCTGGCGCAAAAGCGGCCCTCCTATGTAGACCCGGCGACGGCTATGAGGCAGGCGTAGAGATAACAGAGTCGGCGCGTAATATGCAGACGCCGTTGTTTTTGTAAACGCCCCTTGCTACCCTCTGCTATGGACGGAGCGCACCTTTCGTCGTTTCTACCGGAAGAACAGCTAGAAAACACTCACCATCACGTTAGAAAAAAATAATCATAGGTTTATTAGGAGGCTAACAGACGTGACCAAATCAGACGCAACCCGTATTCAACATGTCAAAGTAATACGAAAATAAAGACGAAAAATTCAAATTACAATGTCTGAGATGGGAAGGGAGCACTCCATGTTATAATCAGTTTCTATACATATATACATCGATTTGTCAGTCATTCTACAAAGGCAGATAAACGTGATGACAAGCATACACATACAGAGTGATGTTGTCAGAACCAGATAACGACCCTGTCCGTAACAAGCAGTGCATACGGAAGGCGAGATTTAAATTACGAACATTGGCAAATTAGTAACAATTTGATTTTGCAGCACCTACTGGATGATATCGCAGAAAAAGTTCCGGGAAGTTCACATATCAAGAAATAAGACAACGATAACTAACGGTACTACAGTTGATATCTACGCAATCAAAGGGGGCGGTGTCAGAAAGCATGGAATGGTCCGATCCGCGGCGTTTCCCACCACTGGTTGCTTTCTTCCTGAATCTACCACTATTGGCAGAAGAGGCATCCGGAGGGAGTTCCTGCCCTCGTGACACTACCCTGACTGATGCGGCGATACCCACTATAGGTCGCTTTATGATGCGTTCACTCACTCGTATTTGAGGATGCGGGTTGTTTCACGCTCAATATTGATAATCATATTTAAAATTATTTAGGATTACTTAACTATTATTTTTTCTTATAGTTACCATTACCCTTTAGACCATTGGCTTAGGTTAGGTACTCCATTACTCATCACAAGGCGCAGGCCCGAATTTTAAAAAATCATCTGGGAGCAGTGTACGCGAGAAAAAATCCACTTCTTGCAGATTTGATCATTAGACTGCTAAATATGATTTAGACAGAAAACTGGAAAGGTGTGTCATGAAAAGGCGAAGAGGGTATTCAGTTCCTAGGAATGGACGAGTTATGCAGCAATTGTGACCGATCACCGGCACTCACACAGACTAAGGAAGGGGAATCGGTGACCTCGTGGTCGCTAGGGAATTTGGAAAAGAAGGACACAGGCCATGCCTCTGTGTCGCTATCCCTAACCATGGCTTATGCTTGAAGCGCAGACGACTAGACCTGTCGAAAGATAGCGTCGTAGAGAAGACTCCACTAAGCCTTGGTCTGGCGAACGGAAGCAGAGGCACTGAGGAGTGCCTCATCCTACTAAGTTAGCCCCAATCTGGGCTTACTCCAGTATTTAAAATTAGATGGTTTTATAGAAGTGGCACGATTCCCCAGCATACCGTCCCGAAAGAGGGCATTAGAAAAGTTTAATTTCGGACAACCCTATGTTGGCAAACATAGGTACTTGTTAAGATGAGGGCACAGAGGTCCGGACCGCCAACGCGGTGATCTCTGTGAGGAGAGTCAGACGGCATCCGCTCAAAGTGAGCCAAATGTCTGGACCTTTGCAGCCTTGACTATTGGGACAGCACGAAATTGGCTGCGGATTAACTGGATGACAGTAGAAATATCAGGTATGGTCCTAAGCTGCATAACTCGTCCTTTTCGGAAGTCACAGTCAAAAAAGGGCCCGATGTTGCTTTTCAACTAGACTCTACACTGTTAGATAGTTTTTGCATTTTCTAGTGGTCTTGACTGGAAGCCGAAAACAACGTTCCCAGCAGATTTCTTGTCGCGATTCACTGCCGTTGAGTAATCTTACACCTGTTTGCTGTAATATGCGGATCGTTCAGAATGTTGACATGAAGAATATGGGACATCGGCAAGGGTCTGTGATGCGTATGTGGAATTCGATATCGAATAGTTGTTGTAATATGAGCAAATTCCCAGCTCAGTTGTCTCGTATGGTGGTGAATTATGTGAAACATCTGACGTCCAGTACGAATGAAGTGCCTGCAAATAATTCGTGAGAACCAGAAGAGAATTTCCCCGAGGGTTACTGTAGAACTAGGAAAAAGGGAAGCATTTGGGTAACTTACCAACGGCAGGGAGTTAGGTGAGGATTCATCGTTACCGTTGCTTGTACGGTCACTTGACGGGGAATCCAAGACAGAAGCGATTGGTCTCGATGGAGCACCAAATGCAGCTCGAGGTGAAGGTGTTGAACCACATCCGTCGGAATGCGGAGGAGTGAGAGGTTGTGGTCGACGCTTCACAGGTATACGCTGAAAAGATGCTGTTCAATCCTGTATATGTATGCTCTTAAAGGCGCAGTCTATGCTGATGGTCTGGCGGAGTCGGTCATACCGCCTGGCCTTCTCCCTTCTGCGGTGTAGGGCAGAGGGGAGAAACCCCTAGTGAAAAAGGCGCGGCCAGCCGTCTCCTCCTACTATCAGTTTGTACCAAACCAAGTCAATTGTAAACTCCTAAAAATACCTTGACTTGGCGGGAACTGTTTTTCACGTTATTCTTCCCGTTCCCATTAGCCATTATGTGCAGAAGAACACTGCTTTTCTTCACATCAGGATCCAAAAGTTCTAGTAGATGTCGGAACTCATTCTCTTCCGCTATCTTGTAAGGTGTGCGATCCTGCAAAAAGGTAGTTTATCGACAGATACTTACTAAATTTCCACTGATGATTTTCCAAGTCTCTTGAGTGTAAAGTGAAAGGCTTCAGCGTTTCCAGACTTTTTCATTCCTATTAGCAGTCCCTCAGAGTAGGAGCATAGGATCCAGATGAGCGAAATGGCCCACAGTCTGTACATTCAACAACTCTTGCTCAAATATTCTCAGTAACCTTCCGTGTGGGGGGGGTGGGGAGGGGAGGAGGAACACGAGAGCGGATATCATCAAGCGGAAACACTTCTCTTGAAGCCAAATACGACACCTCTCCTTCAGCGACCCCTTAATAGGTATTGCAGAACGATGTACGTTGCGCCCACGTTCTCACGTACTCCTCCCCACCTTGGATTGAATTTTTCCAGAAATCTCATAGAAGAACGGTGCGGAGTAATGACAGCGGCAGGGCTGATGGGTCCCTCATTCTTTCTCAGTCGTACAACTTTCACGCTAACTACAGTTCTTCCTCCTTTTCAAAGAAGCTCAAATAGGACTCCATCACTGAGGACTCCATAGGATTAGTATCAACTGAAAAATATG